GAAGCGTGTGACCGTCAGAGGGATTCTAAACAAGTGTACGTTCACAATTTCACAATTTGTAAGAGAAACTAATGGTATATATATACATAGCCCTGGACAATACAGGATCTTATGTTCTGTAAACATACGAAACTCAATCAAGCCGCTTTCATTCCCCCTTCTTTCTCCCCTCCATGGTGGAAACGTTCCCAACCATCCTTCTCCTTCTTGCGGGCGGACTGTTTCTATGGACTCTTCTCCACTCAAAGGACTTTTCTCGAAACCACCCGCCTCTTCCTCCAGGTCCACCGACGGACCCCGTCATTGGACATCTCAGGATAATGCCTACAGATCACATTGATACGTTCTTCTATGAGCTCTCAAAAAAGTACGGTAAGTCCTCCGTCCACATCACCCCAGGTTACCTCAACTGACGGAATTCAATGCGATATAGGAAAGGTAGCTCATCTCCGAATCCCTGGTCGCACAATGATTATCCTCAGCAGCGTACAAGCCGCTGTCGACTTGCTCGATAAACGAAGTGCAATATACAGTGATAGAGCACCGTCAGATGTTATGATGCTGTAAGCTTTCCGTCCAATCTTCTATTCCTCTTTCCGATCTTGTAATGGCAGCATGGGCTGGGAACACGACATGGCTTTCTTTCCTTACGGGAAACGCTTTCACCAACATCGGAAAATGCTCAATGAATACTTCAATCATGAGAAATGCGCAGATTACCTTCCTTTCCAAGCTGTGGAGGCGCATCGACTTGTTCAAAGACTTCTTTCCCATCCAGAGAAATTTAATGATCACTTGAACTGGTATAGTGTCCAGTTTTTTAAACTTACGCCGCTTTTGGTTGCTAATGCCCTAATATCCTTTTTCCGCCACTCTAGGTTCGCTACAGCAGTCATTCTCCGCATCAACTATGGGCATGAGCTCATCTCAAACAATGACCCATACTTCAAGGTAGTCTCAGACGCAGCGTACTGTATCGTCCACTGTGCCACTCCAGGGAGTAATTTAGTGGACCTTTTGCCGATAAGTTTGTTGTTCCTCTCTATCCTCCTTGGAATGTACTGATTAGATTTATGTAGTGAAATACCTTCCGTCGTGGTTTCCTGGAACGTATCCGGCGACTCAAGCACGTTCATTCCGTCCGACCATACAGGTGATGCATGATTACCCCTTCCAAGATGTAAAGAATCAAATAGTAAGTTCGTGATTCCTCTCGAGCATGTTGGTTTAGCGACTGGTTGCTTTTTAAATCGTTTGTCGTCAGGCCGAGGGAACAGCTAAAGAGTCGTTTCTCAGTACTCATCTCGAAGGCCTCCACCATGAAGGACAAAATTATGCTTACACCGTCGAAGATATCAAAGGGGCTACCGGCGTAATATACTCCGCTGGTGCTGATACTGTTCGTAAATTTCCTTCGTATTTTCGTTAAATCGGCTTGATCTTTACTTCCTTGCATCATAATTCACCTCTTTAGACATGGTCGACCCTCGCTATCTTTATGCTTGCGATGGTTCTTTATCCTTCTGCCCAGGCCGCGGCGCAGAAGGAGATCGATGAATTCATGGGGCCTGACCGACTGCCGGAGTTTGCAGATCGTCCTAACATGCCTTATCTGGAATGTATTGTGCAGGAAACGTACCGATGGAACAATTCGGTACCTACAGGTACTTTACTTTTCTCTGTATGATTATATCTATGTGGATTAACTCTCGATGAGTTCAGGTCTGCCACATCGCTCGACAGAAGATGACATCTACAATGGAATGTTCATTCCAAAAGGATCTATCATCGTAGCCAATACACGGTTCGCGTGTACTGTCTAAAGGGTTTTTATTAATTTTACTGACTTACATTCATAGTGGTATGACGCTTGATGAAGATGTCTACAAGAACCCTCATATATTTGATCCATCACGATACCTCCGAGGAGAGCCTCATCCAGTAGGTCAATTTGGCTTTGGTCGGCGGTCAGTTGCAATAACTTCCTTTAATATTCTTATTGAATCTATCTCTATTTATTAAGTATCTGTCCTGGACGTCACATGGCGGACTCGAGTGTCTGGATAGCCATAGCGTCCGTACTTGCTGCGTTCACCATCTCACCTGTTAAAGCGGCGGATGGAACACCCATCTTCCCCAAGGAGGAGTTTATCTTGGGAATTACCAGGTACGCCATCCGGCGATTTCTATTTCATATTCCACTGCTAAATTGCTTCATAGTCATCCGAAGCCATTTAAATGTATTATTTCCCCGAGGAATGACAAGGCGAGAGGCATTGTGGAAAGTTGAAGAGAAGGGGATGCTCAGACCACAGCGAAGACTAAACTAAGTATTAACATGGATAGCTCGTCTTCCTCTTGTATATTTTATTCCACTTTCCCACAATTTTTTTTTTGCTATTATCGATTAGTTTGAAACAGGAATAAGCTTTAAATGCCGGTATAAAAATACTTGGTGACTAAGTAGTAAGAGTGCGATGCGGGCGGGAGAAAAGGCGACTATTCATGGCCCCAAACGCCACTATCTATTGGCATGGGACTCAAGCTCCTACTCAGGTCTGGGAATAATCGCCTCTCAAATGCGTCACCACTGGTCAGAAGCTTTCACTCCGTGTGATTGATTGACAGGCCAAATATATACGACGGAAGGAATCATCAGAAAGGTTCTTCCAATGTCTAGTTTGGTTGATCTTTCTATCACTAACCACGGGTCTTTTCGACGTACATGATACATCCATGTTGGAAGTGTTTCTGATAGTTTTTCTCTTTCTTGCTAGTGGACTACTTTTGTGGAGGCTGACAAACATCAAACGCTCTCAAGACCGTCCACCACTACCTCCAGGACCTCCAGCAGACCCCATTATAGGACATCTTAGAATAATCCCTTCTGAACATAGCGATAGGTTTTTCTATGAGCTCTCAAGGAAGTATGGTGAGTGCTGACATCTATTAGTATAAGAATGGTCTTTCATTTGTATGGGGCTCTAGGAAGTGTTGTCCATCTTCACGTCCTGGGCAGCAATATGATAGTCCTAAACAGCGCACAAGCCGCTTTCGACCTCCTCGATAAGCGTAGCGCCATATATAGCGACAGAGCTCATTCTGATGTTCTCATGCTGTAAGTCGCATATTCTCCTTTTTCTTCCAACTTTTTCCGGCTGACCTTAATAGCATGGGATGGAGTCATCACCTTGCTTTCCTCCGATATGGGAAACGCTTTCACAAGCACCGAAAATTGCTCAATGAGTACTTCAGTCATGAGAAATGCGAGAGCTACTTGCCAGTTCAAGCTCTGGAGGCTCGCCGACTCCTCGGAAATCTTTTATCAAACCCAGAGAAATTCAACGACCATTTGGAATGGTGAAGAATTCAAATCAGCATTCATTTAGAGAATTGGATTAACATCTTTCCCTTTAGGTTTTCCACCTCAGTTATACTTCGCATCAACTATGGACACGAAGTCGTCTCCGAAAATGACACTTACCTCAAGATCATTGCCGATGTTGGATATTGTGTCACACACTGTGCTACCCCAGGAAGTAATCTGGTAGACCTTATTCCAATTAGTTGCGTCTTATATCCTTGACTCGTCATTGATTCTGTTGTACTAAACCGTCCGGTAGTGAAATACCTTCCATCCTGGTTTCCTGGGACGTACCCTGCAACTCAATCACGCTCATACCGGCCCACCGTAGATTTGATGCACGACTACCCTTTTGAAGATGTGAAGAAGCAGATGGTACATTACTTGATTCTATCCATGCGCGTCTGTCCTTTCAGTTCTGATTTAAATTATGTTTTATTTTATAGGCAGTGGGCACAGCAAAAGATTCATTTCTCTTTACCCATCTCGAAGGCCTACAGTGCGAAGGATCGGAATACCCTTACACCGCTGAGGATATAAAAGGTGCTACAGGCGCGATATACTCTGCTGGTGTAGATACGGTTCGATGCCTTCCTCTCCGTCCATTACCAGGTCTTTATTTGGATATATACTCCCAGATATGGTCTTCGCTTTCCATATTCATACTCGCCATGGTCCTCTATCCTTCAGTTCAGGCTCGAGCGCAGAAGGAGTTGGATGAATTGCTAGGACCCAGCCAACTTCCAGAGTTTGATGATAGACCTCACCTGCCATACCTTGAATGTGTCCTGCAAGAGACTTACCGATGGAATAATGCATTGCCTATCGGTGTGTGGATATCTCTTTGTCCTTGTATAATCAACTTCATTCTGGAAGGTGTACCACATCGTCTAATGGAAGATGACATTTATAATGGGATGTTTATTCCGAAAGGTTCCACGGTCATAGCTAACACGCGGTGAGTCAAGCTTCTGCGCGTACTAGACGAAATTCCTGATTCATTATGTACACCCATTTTACATATGAAGTGGGATAACACTCGACGAAGATGTCTACCAGGAGCCACATGCATTCGATCCATCGCGCTACCTTCGAGGAGAGCCGCATCCAGTAGGACAATTTGGTTTTGGTCGACGGTCTGTTTCGTTTCATCTGCTTGTCTTCCTCCTCGGAGCTTTATTCTCATACTTGTTTGATTTCATCATATACTTAGCATCTGCCCTGGACGTCACTTGGCAGAGTCGGGTGTGTGGATAGCCATTGCCTCCATGCTTGCTGCCTTTAGAATTTCTCCTGTGAAGGCAGAGGATGGAACGCCTGTCCTACCGCGCGAGAATTTTTGTCCGGGATTACAAGGTAAATGAGACAGCCATTCATCTCCATACGCGTGCCATTAACCGGAGGATATGATCGAATACTAGTCATCCTAAACCGTTCAAATGCGCCATTACCCGCGAAATGATAAGGCAAGAAGGCTGTTGGACAATAACTGAGTGAAGATGGTGTACATATTTACGGCCAATGCGTTCAGTATGAAATGAGGATAATAGCACTTCATTCGAGAAGAAAATACGACTCGCAAGGAATCAAGATGCCTGGAGGAAACGTTGGTAAACAGAATAAGGGCAAAAACAATTCCTTCGAACCAGGATCGAACTAGTGGCCTCAGGATTTACATGTAACATATTACAGTCCCGCGCTCTACCAGACTGAGCTATCGAAGGTTGAATATTCGATTTATTACGCTGCTGCATTTCTCGTTGAGCGTGAAATTTTTTGAGAACCACGTGTTTGATGTTGCCCGTTTTTCGGCTGGCGTATGTAATGCACTGCCACATGCCGCCACTCACGTCAGCCACGTCTCTGAGGAACGAGGAACGACCTACACCTTTCGGTGCTTCCAGCCAGGAAGAACAGGTAGAAGGCAATTATCTTCCAAAAATCTCAAGTACCAAATTATTGCAACCCAGGAACTGCAGTTTCCAAAATAGCAGTTCCATTGCCAAACGCCGCGCGAGCAGTGACTCTATTCATATTCAAGGATACGAACATGCCATTTTCGCAAATCTGGCGCCCAGAAAGAACCGTTTAGGCGCTAGAAAATTGCTTCGAAAATGACCTGATGGTCTTGCTTATCCACCCTTGCGCGCCGACGAAGAGCCCATCTGTCTTGATTAAGGGGAATCCTTGTCTCTTAGGGTATTCATTCGCCTCGAGGTATGTATTCTTTACATCAATATAGAACAATTCATGCTTACCTCGAGAACAAGGAAGCTTCCTTTGCCTACCTTGATCACAATGCGGCACGCCTCTAAACACGCGCAGAATGCTTTAAAAGCCCTGACGAATCATTATCGTACCACCAAACCCATCAACCATGTTTCTGCGTCGAAATCGGTCAGCCTCTAATAACAACACGAATTCTCGACAGAGGACCGTTTCCACGCCCTCTGCGTTGAGGCTTCCCCTGCCGCCCCTGCACGAACCTTCGAAGACAACGGGAAAGACCTCTCTCGCAACTTCTGATTATGCAAAGCAATGTCGGGAAATAATGGAATTGTATTGGGCTCTTCGAGGTCTCCAGTTCGTGTTTCTTGTGATCTCCCTCCATCACTGATTTACATTTACTAGCATTGCGACGGTTTTTGATCTGCCACGTGTCGTGGTCGTCGGCGGACAATCCAGTGAGTGTCCAAAGAATAATCCTTTTCCTTGAGTACTCTAAAATTTCGTCATAGGCGGCAAGAGTTTTCTTGTAGAAGCTGTCAGTGGGGTACGTGAAATTCCCTTATTGTCTCACTCTTTCTTGATATCGGCTATTTTATAGATCAACGTTCCAAGAGACAGTGGAACATGTACCAGGTAGTTACCCTCACTCCTCTGTTCCTCTCAACTAACGCCTCCTTCTAGATGCCCCATGGACTGTACAATGTCCAGCAACGCGTCGTCATGGTCCTGCACCATCACTCTTCGCAGGGAGTTCGATGAGGCTGGTCATGCGCTGTCCAATCCAACTGTCGAACCTTTCGGCAGGGTTATCGAGAATCGATCCCTCGTCGAGCTTCAAATCCGCCGTGCGCAGGCCGCGATCCTCAGCCCTCATCGGCCAGCTTCGGATTTCTATGATATGGACGAGGCTGCTTTGAAGGAAAATGCAAAAAACGATGCTGCGGTGTTATTGTTTTCGAGGAATGTTGTTGAGGTTAAGGTGAAAGATCCCAATGCAACAGATTTAACGTTCGTGGATTTGCCAGGTGCTTAGTGTTTGCTGTTCTTCCTTAGTCTTTGTTAATTTCTTCGTATTTGTCCAGGCTTGATTCACAATGCCCACAAGATGGTTTGATCGACCTGGTGCGCGATTTAGTGGAGGAGTACATAAGGAAGGAAAACACATTGATCGTCATCGCCATTCCCATGAGCGGTATGTCTATTTGTCATGTTCTTCCGCACAACACGGCTCTGGATACAATTTCTCCAAGACGATATACAGAATATTCAAGCGGTTACATTGGCCAAAGATCCGAGGGTTGACCCCAGACGAGAAAGGACCATAGGTTCGTCCGACCCTTTTTGTTCCGTCATCGCCATTTCTGGATTTTATTTATCTTTCCAGGTGTCCTCACAAAACCAGACGCACTTTCGAAAGGAGCAACAGGTGGCCGTTCTGCGTGGCGGGCGATCTTAGAAGGTCAAGAGTCGGAACACAACACCAAACATGGATATTACTGTGTCCGTCTGCCGGATGACGCTGAGCGCCAGCGCAAGATCAACCGAGCCGAAGCTGAGAAGATTTCGTCCGATTTCTTTGCTGCTACTTCTCCTTGGAGCGAGATGGCGGATCGCAGTCGGTTTGGAATTCCAAATTTTGTGAAAGACGTTAGTGGGCTGCTCATTGAGCTCATTGAACGGAAGTAAGTTCAAATTTTCCATCCATTACAATACAGAAACCTCTCGTTAACTTCTTTCTGTTGTTTAGCCTGCCGGAGCTGCGGAAGGCGGTTGAGAGAGAACTTGCAAAATGCTTCAAGGAAATAGAGGCTTTACCGCCTGCCCTCGATAAAGATCCACTTACCGAGATTTCACTTCGCATTACTGCGTTTTGCAAAGACGTCAATGATGCTGTCTTTGGGAGTACCCGTGACTTGAAATTTTTGTTCAGGAAAACAAAGATAGATATGACTCTTTCAAAAACGATATTCAAATGACAACTCCGGACTTTTGGCCATTCGAAGATCTTGACTCAAACTCGACCTATTCCCTCGTCCACAGTCATTGCCAGCAGAGGGGTTTGGCTGAGGTTCGCAATGCTATTAAAGGGTAAGAGTTCGTCGGTTTTGCTGTCTTTGATTTTAATCAGTCTTTCTTCATGCTAGGTCAATTACTTGGGAGCTGCCAGGTCATGTTCCGCATGACGCGATCAAGGAGCTCGTCCTTCAGTACACCAAGCTGTGGAAAGATCCATCCTTGCTTTGCTTTCAGGACGTCATCACGAACACCAGCTCCTTACTTGATGAGCTGCTCAAGAGTCACTTCGGGCGATATAAAGAGCTGGAACGCTTCATGAGGTCCGTTTCTTTAAACTTTCGTGCAAACCAAGAGGTTTAACCGATAGCTTTCTCAAAGGACTTTGGTGTTCAAAGAACGAGATCTCCACAGAGATGAAACACGAATTGTCCTCGACAAGTTCCTCGAACTTGAGACGGTCCTCATATTTAGCAAAATGTTGCGGCTTTCCAGACGGAGAAATCAAAGTGGCTCCAGATCTACAATCAGCCCTACATTACGCGAAGTCTTGTGGAGGCGCGTAACTATCCTCACTCCATCCCTCAACCTCTTTGCACGCGCCTTGCCCCTGTTCACCTTTTCCCAAGCAAGACGTTTCCGCGCGTTAAAAACGACGGTCCTACCTCATCAACTCCGGCAGATGAGATAGGGGTTATGGCTGATGTACAAGCCTATTTCCAGCTCGCCTATCGAGTAAGCAAGCTAATCCGGAGTCTGGTGTAAAGTACTTGCTGAAGCGTTATTCTACTAGCGATTAATCGACTATGTCCCTCTCACCATTGAGCATCAGCTCAACCAAGCTTTTGCTCGTGACATCAACTCCACTCTCTTGCAGGCTATTTTCAAAGACACGGATGAAGAACAAGTTGATGTAACTGGGCTTATTAAAGAAGATCCGGCCATTGAACGCGTACGCACGGAGTTGGAGGATAGGAAGGTGCGATTGCTTCAGATTAAGGAGAAATTAGACACTTTTCGACGTGGCAGTAGCTAAGTCCATATTGTTGCTGACTGGCGGTGCTGCTGCTCCCGTCGATTCAAATTCCGATGTTATCCATATTCTATCTCCCGATCTGCGTGTACTCTCAATCTTACTGCGATATAGTGCTTGATCTTTTGCCAACATTTTGCGTTTTAAGAGGGGATAAATTTACTTCTGATTCTTTTTCCTTATTTTTCGTCTTCTCTGAGTGTGAGGCGGAAGAGCTGAATTCCCAATCGTAATGGCGCCCATCCACCCTCGTCCACACCGGAATAGTTTCTCACCTACCATCCATCTCAATATGCCTCCGCTCTCTCATCGTTGCGGTACCTAGGTTGCTTTCTCCTTTGTACATCATCCGATTTGATCAATAGCTCCAGGTCCACAGTTCCCAAGGAGATCGAGGCCGTTCGCCAGGCACCAGTCTCCACCCTATTCGCGATTGCTCAAAGGGTAATCGATCAAGCTCAAGTGCTGAGCTTTGAGTAGAAAACCGGTACATAGTTCTCGTTTGGAGATTTATATAGCTCACCGAGGTAAGTAAATCTGTTACTATACCTTAACGATTATTGCAGCATATAAATTTCCCGTAAATAGTACGAATATCAATGTCGTCGAACCCTGAACTAGAGTATCTCGAGAACATGGGGAGACCGAATTGGCCACCACCAGCAAGTCTCATCCCTTTCCTTTATCCAGAGCCCCAAATTGAAATCGACATTTATCTCGTCGTTAAACGATCCTCTATGGATCCCGGTCAAACCATCGCCTCTCGCGACCAGCACTGGATGTTCCAGTGGAAATTGGAAAAGACGACCTCACTTGGCGATCCAGTTTATCGCAGGCTCGAAATTGTACGTGAACGAAATATACAGGGAACAGGCAAGTTGGATCATCTCACAAATTGGGGCACCATGACTGTGGCTGAGGAGTCCAACTCCAAAACGGGAAGGGATGTTGTCAATATCCTCTTGAAGAAGATGTCGTTGAGAGAGCGTAAGGCCTTTGAGTCCATTTCTGATGGGACGCGTGTAAGAAAACCAGATGCAAGTCGTCCTTCAGTTAAAGGGTATACTAGTGAGAGCCAACTCAAAGGAGAAAATTTTTTGAAATAGTGAATTCCTCTCTTTGTTTTCTCTTAGTGCGTGAATCATGCGATAATATGTCTTCTATGTCTTGCAATTAAGAAAGCCTGCGGGCTAGAGATCTTTAGTGGCTGCCTTCGTCAACTCCACATGCAAGCTCGTCCTGGACAACCTTCAGTTTGACATAGAGAAGCCCAGTGAAGGGTGGATGAAATGCATTAAAGGTCCAATTTAAGAGCGCCTGGGTCGCGGTGTGGCAAGAGACTAAGAAAATACTTGAAGTTCATCTGCAGGTAGAACGGAGAAAGGGAAAAAAAGCAACTAGCTGCCCCGTACCCGGATTGAACGAGTGACCTTTTCATGCCGTCACAGGCACATGACGTGACTCTGCCTTACAAGTGAAACGCGCTACCACTACGCCAACGGGGCGATAGATCAGCGTGACATTCCTGCCCTCATTGCCGGCGCACCACGCAAGCTGCCCGTCGTTGTCGCCGTCGTTGACCGCGGGCTGCATCCTTGATCAATACCACCATCTTCTCCGCAACTTGCTCGCTGTCGTTGTCAGGTTCAACCTTACCTGCACTGCGGACATTTCTAGGGCCTATTTCCGACCTTTCCCAGGCGATAACTACAAGAGAAAGAGTGCATTGTCTGGAGGTTCAAGGCCACAGTCATGTTTCGAGTTGCACTTACCCGAATACGCCCTAGTCTTCCTATATTGAGGCCACGATCTTCACCGACGTTACCGCCTAGAACAGTGGGGCGAGTCCAGCAGTTTTCAGCGTCATCGCGGAGGCAGGCTTACATACGGTTTGGGGAACAAGGTCCCGCACCAAAGAAGCCTCAGCATGATCTGCATTGGCGACATTTGGACCCAAGAATCAAGGGATCTATCATTGCCTTGGGCATGGGGACGATTTATTATGTTTCGCAGTGAGTTAGTTTTCGATTTATGTTCCTCAGTATGAAACTCATATTTTTATTCATGTAATCAGCTTGGAGCAAGTTCCAGACACAGGCCGTTGGAGGTTTATGAACACCTCACCCGAATTCGAAGCCAAGGTACGTCCAATTTTGCAACTTAAATGGAAACCCTAGAGCTCATGTGCTGAAAGGTCGGTGAACTAGCACGAAAACAACTACGCGAGGAACTCGCACCAAACACCCTCCCGCCTAATCATCCACTGAGCCGGCACGTTCGCCGCGTAGTCTCTCGCATCCTACATGCGTCCAACCTCGGTGTCTTGCGAGGGGAAGAACAACGCACACACCTGTCACCTTTCGGGATGGGATGGGACTCGGAGGGCAACGTATGGAATCCTGATGTCGAATTCGGTGCGGCGAGGGATCCAAAACCCGTTTATGGTCCTACGAAAGAGTGGGATGTTATTGTGGTGAATGATAGCAAGGTGATCAACGCTATGGCCAACCCAGGTATGTTTATGGCACACATTGCGAATTGTGTATTGAGGATTAATTTCATTGATTTCAAGGTATAATTGTCGTGTTCACAGGAATTCTTCCTGTTTGTCAAGACGAAGAAGGCCTATCTGCAGTACTCTCACATGGTGGGCCTGCTCCCTTTCTTGACGTTCGTCTTTCTTTAACTGTTTTGACCTAGAAATTGGCCACGTAGGCAAGTTGCTCAATCTTATCACATCCTTCCATTGCTGAACCTGTGTTAGTGGCACGACATTCGGCGGAACGTCTCTCATCGCAGACCATCGTATGGGGATTAATCGTGATAGGCTCAATGCTGGGGTTCGACGTTGGCATAACGGACTTCGCCCAAAAGTACCTGTTGGAACTTCCAAATTCGCGGAAACAAGAACTTGAAGGTGGGTTCTTGAACTCATCGATTTGCACACCTAGAACTTGACGCAATAATGTTTGCGTCATCATAGCCGACCTTATTGGACTGCGACTGATGAGTCGAGCTTGCTATAACCCCGAAGCGTCTCCCCAGTATGTCCTCTCTCATCCATAACCGGTCACACTCAAGACTTTTTTTTTTTTTTTCATTTCGGGCAGGATGTTCGCTAGATTAGGCAAACTCGAATCTAAATTCGGAAAGAATCTGGATTTCTTCCAGACCCATCCATCATCCGACAGTCGCGTCAAAGTTAGTAATTATGATGTCGTTCCCATCTTTCTCTTTCCCTCCTGTCTGCCTGGTTTTTTTCTCTTTCTGACGCTGTCTTTCTCTTCACTGCTGAATAGCTCCTGCAAGAACACTTACCCGAAGGATATGCGATTCTCGGAGCTAACCCCGACTGCGAACTTGTACGACAGGAATTGGAGTCGTTCAAGGAGACTGCACATGCAATCAAACCGACTAAGAGTGGTGGGTTTGAGTTAGATTAAGGATACAATGGTGCCAAAGATAGACAGGTTCGTTCGGTTTTGACGATCTCGAATCATGTATATGTGACGCGGCCATGTTCTTACAGAATCTTTCAGGACCATTACACTTAATTGATAGTAGGAATAGAGGTTCGTCTTCTTTCTAGAAATAAGTGAACTCGCTAGACTTATCATTTCTGGTAGAATCAGCTATGATAACCTCGACTCACGTATGCAATATTGCTATCGCACACACAAGGCAGCCGTGGCGTCCTGCGCATCGAGAGCAACTCTAGTTATTCCAGTTATTTTGAATTTCCGAAAGCGAACTTGAAGCTGGCACAGCCAACATTTACACCCATGGACGTCAATGGTGATCCGTAAGACTGCACGATGCGAATGTCCGACTGGAGATGGGAATACCACATTTGTATTCGTATGTGTTATCAAACAATGGAAGATTTTCAATCGTCGTTCCTTATCTTATCTTAGGGTTAGCTATGTTTGACGCAGTACAGGAAGTCCCTTTCGGACCTATTAGTCCCAATCCCACGAGCTTATGGCTTCTGTGAAATACAAAGCACCGCCACTCATTCTGTAAGGGGTGAAACTTGATGCGTGCTTGGTGAAAGTTGAGTGACTGCGTCGCACAATGGCACACCCATCGTGCTTTGAACAAGATTTTTGGGCATTGACCAAATAAGATCCTGCTATCGCTGACCGTTGTTCAGTGTAATCACCGGCGGGAATTCTTTTCCTTCCAGCAAGTTCTCCACGACTCTTTATCCGGCCAAATGGGTACCTTATGCGTTCCAATTAAGGGTGTGTATGCCACATCCCTTACCTGATGAGTTCCAAATACGGTTTTGGATGCAATTCCCTTTGGCCATTGTCCTTCCCAACCTATATAAACCAGACGACTCCCTCGCCTTCCGAGTCCATACTAGCGGCCATCCGTTCGGAATTTGACAATGGTGCCGAAAAATATGTAAGCATCTTTCCTTCTTCAAAAAAATCAATTATATATTACTTGCTCAGTGTCACCTTTTGAAATCCCGCGCATACCTCGGAATATTACGACCTGGGATCAACGCTTAATTTACATGCGAACAGGACTCGAGAAATACCTGCACGAGAATGTCGGTATACTGCTGCCTGAAGGTTACTGGCGAGTCGCTAACGGATATTATGTCGACCCTCCCAACAACAACAACAACAACAGGAGGCCTTCTACCGCATTTTGGCCTACGCCTGACTTTCAAGTATTTCTGGACGACTCTATTTGCGATACGGTGATCAGTGCGGCTTATAATTTTGAGGATCCCTCCACGTCAGCATCGACCTCAGGCTCCCAGGGGGAAATAAAACTCGCGAACGACAAAAGGGCATTCCATAACTGGCCTCCCGGGCTTATAGACTCATTTCGTCAACTTTCACGAGACGCCCGCATGTTTTCCTTGGGGATATATGAAGCACTGGCGCGAACGCTCCTTATTCAATTTAAAAGAGCTCGCGGCTGTGAACGTGTCGGATTCGGAGATGGAGAATCTCGAGGAGTGGGTCGATGCTATGGGCGCAAATGGGTGGTGAATATGTGGATTCAATGAATATTTATACGTTCTTGAGGTTCCTTACTGCAGCCATGTATCCAAGGCCCGTAGGTTCCGTTTATACCTTTAACTACGGCGCTTAATTCGCGATTCTTAAACGATTTATTCCTTCCTCATAATACTATATTCCTCGCTTCGTGTTTACTAAGATATAAAAATTGGAGAAATTCTAGAATGATAAATGGGTATCACTATATCATCTTCCAAGTGGAGCTATTTGTTAAAAGTATCAGTAATTTGATGGTCCTTGGCCCATTCTTGAATCTTGTCGAACCTGCGGCATACGTGAGCGACATCGCCATATTCAACAGTCTTCTGCAACGCGTCGCTCCATTGCCACACCATGACACTGATGTCGGCCGAACACATCAAAGATTGCCTTATGCTGTCGAGACAATACCCAATATATCACGCCATATCTGTGTTGTTCAGTCCCATATGGGGAAAATAATCCGAATATATCGATTGTCGAATCATATTTAAGGATGCAAATCAGGAATAGTCTTGAAAGAGGATGTTAATTGAACGGCGCGCCAAACAATGCAACTCGTGAAAGACATCGAGCTTAATAACGTAGTCTTCCTCGTCGCCTGGAATTTGGGCGGTCTTATTTGGAAGCTGTGAGGGAGACCCTCAGGCTGGGTCTGTAATATGGAGATTTTAATTGTTCTGTAACTCGCCGATGCGCCACCTTCCGCCAATTTCCAAATATGTACTGACCGAATTCTTGGACCATTTTCGGTAGTTTTATAACTTTGTTCCTGTTTCCGTAGCACATATTTTTGATTTATATCATACTCATGACCTTTCTATTTCGTTTCGGAGCATAATAATTGATGCGGCGTCCTCTTGCGCAGCAAGCACGGGTCCATATCATATTTTATTTACCTTTTTCGTAGCTTTTCTCCTTCTCTCCTGTTTCAAATCTGACTCATTTTATATTCTAGCTACAGTATAAATACTTCAAATCTTTGTACAGTAGCTAACAATCGAATTTAGCACCCATTTACTGGCTAAGAAGCTCTACTATCATCTGAGCCTTCATATTTTCGATTTACTTCAATTTTATCAACTCTAAACTACGCCTTTGGACCTCTAGCAAACGGAGTTTGCCACCGAGTCAAATATAGGACTCGTTCGGAACTCGACGCACCTCACTGCGTTTCAAAGCATTGAAGCTTCAAATTTCGACATTTTCGAGATCCCAACTGAACTACGGTCACGACCAGGTCTTAGGTAGACCTAATGCTACTCACAAGAATAGAGGTCCTCCCACATTTGATCGAGCTCAGGAGAAGGAAGTTGCCAGAAAGGTGAAATATCGTGGCCTCCAACGTTGGAATCATGTGTCCTGATTTCGTACTCTGCGACGCTTTGAGCAGGTGCTAGAAATATAAAAATGAGATTATCTTCCCTAGTTTGTCGAATAATTTACAACTCACAGTACAGAAGCATATCATCGTTACTCTTCTC